GGTTTCCAACTTCCCGCGACGCCCGTGTGCGCACGCGCCGCCGTGCCCCGCGGCTCCGGGCTCCGCGCCCCCGCGCAGCGCAGGGTCCCCAACCAGGCTGACCCTCGCAGCATCGGCGTCCGGGAGCTTTGGTGCTCGTCCGGGCTCGCGCCCCCGATTGGCGCTCAGGCAGGGCCTGGGGCGGCCGATAAGGGCCCGGGCGGAGGCCGCCTGGTGTGCCATTATCTCGTCTCAAAACGGGGAAACGCGGACGCACCCTGCCGGAGGGGTGGAGCTAGGAGCTGGGGACCTGGAGGTGCCCCCGGGTATTCAGTCTCCTGGAACCCTCTGCCGAGGCGGCCTCCAGCAGCGCGCGCAGCCCCGACACCACTTAAGGCTTCGATTAAGCGCTCCCGCCTCCGGGAGCTCTGCGTCGCCGCTTTCAGTCCCGCGGGGCCCGGAGGCCATTCCGCTGGAGCGGTGGGCCTCTGAGGGCCTTAGTTTCGCCATCTGCAAAATGGGAGAATAATCCCTTTCGGGCTAGTGATAAATTGAACGAGGGGCCTGGAACATAGGTGCCCAATAAATGCGCATGGGGAGGAAAGGCAGTTGCTCGATAGAGCTCTTTCATTTTATGCGGAACTGAGCAAGTCCCGCTGGTACCCTTCTCGCACAACCGCTCCTTCTCCAGGGAGACAGTCGAAGGGCGGACTGTCCTGCCTGTCTCTGCCTCCCTTCCTCTGGGGAGCATCACAGTAGTTCCCGATGGAGCTGTAATCCTCCCTTCCTCAGGGGAGCATCACAGTAGTTCCCGATGGAGCTGTAATCCTCCCTTCCTCTGGGGAGCATCACAGTAGTTCCCGATGGAACTGTAATCCTCCCTTCCAGAGGAGAGGCTTGATCCAGGCCTGGCCAATCAGAGCGTCCCAGAGCTCTGGCCCATGACTGGCTCAATGCAAGGTCTCATGACCCAGGCAAGGCCAGTCACATGGAGGTGCTGGGAGAGCCGGCACTTCTCCTGGGTTGGGGTTTGGGGAGTGGTCACATCCATCTCACCCCTTTCCACAGGTTGACAGGCGGGCAGGGCACACGGAACACCAACCATGCAGTGTATTTCAGCCCTCCCCAATGGCAAAGTTGCCCAAGCACCTGGATACAGCTGAGCCTGAGGCTGGACCTTGGCTTCTTATCCACAACCAAGTCACTCCCCTTTTCACTCAGTGGCTGGGTTTTCTGTCACTTGCAACCAAAAGGATCCCAATTAACACAAGAATCCACAGGATTCTCAGATTTTTATTTTGTTGACAAAACACAGGGAACAACAAAAATTACAACTGACAAACTGGCAGTGTGACATGGGCTGGGAAATATGGGTGATGGGTGCCCAGAGTCCCAGGGATGCTTCCTGGGTGCCTCCTGGAACCCCTGCGCCAGCGGTCTCCCGGAGTCCAGCAGAGAACCAGCACTCGATGCCAAGGGCTTCATGGTATGAGAAGGTTGGCCCTGCAGGGATGCTTCAGACAGTGGCCTCGACCTCGGTGGCGTCGTCATCCTCCTCCAGCAGGCTGTAGGAGGCGTGGCTCTGGCAGGGCCGCTGCAGCGGGTGAGCCAACAGCTTGGCCATGCAGTTGTGTAGCTCCAGGGCTGGCCCAGCCAGCGCCACCTCATACTTGTAGCTGGTACCCTTGGTATCCAGGCTGCCCATGAAGGCAAACATGTCCTGTGGGGCCAGGGAGGAGCTGTTCAGGCAGGGGTTCCCCTGACAGGCCCTCCCTGTCCTGGGAGGAGCTCCCAGAGGAAGAGGCATCAGGGGTGGGTTCTGAAGGGTGAAGAGGAGTTTGCCAGGCAGAAAACATTCCTACATTCAGCAAACATTCCCTGCCACCCACCTAGTCTTAGGGACCCCGAGAGGTCTCAGTACCAGAGCCCCCAGTCTAGACACAGAATGGGATGCAGACAATCCCTCAGCCCCCACACTGATCTTCCTTGAGGAGCAGGGAAGGCTTCCTAGAGTAGGGACTTTTGGTTTGGGTATTGAGGTATGAGTCGGAGCTGGTCTCAACTCCCCTGTTCACAGTTGGGTAAACTGAGGCTTAGAGAGGTAAGTGGGATGCTTGAGGTCGCACACTAGTTCAGGGCTGAGATGTGAAAGACCAGCAGAGCCTGGGGAGGCAGGGAGGGAAGGGTGTTCCAAGCAGAGGGCAAGGCAGGAAGCGAGTGCAGCAGATGTCAGGGATGAGGTGGGCAGGACCCTACATGCTCCCAGGGCCACTGTCCCAGCAGCCCCCACTAGCTCACAGTAGACACGTGAAGATGGCTGTTGAATGACTGAATGACCAAGATCCAGAAGGGCTCCAGGGCTGCAAAATGGAGGTGGGGTCTCCCAGGCCCAGGGCAGGTGGGTTCTGAGAAGCCCATGTACACCCACCTGCCACCTGCACACCTGCCTTGGCCGCTCACCTTCCAGCTCATCTCCTCCTCCTTCTCATCAGTGCCGTTGTGGATATAAACAATGTCGAAGAAGAAATACGGGCACTGGAACATTTTCTGCAGGGGAAGAACGCCAGCCTTTGGGACTCGGGTCACCCCCTGTCCCCATAATGTTGCCCAGCTTCTGCCTCAGACTCTGGAAACCTGCCTGCAGGTGCCTGAGCTCCTGTGGTCAGGAAGTCCCTCCTGGTGTCTACCCACCACCCTGCTGGCTGTAGGCATCCCTCCCTCCCTCTCCCAGGCCTCACTCACCTTCATGGGCTCCGTCGGGGAGAACTGGGGCTGGCAGGGCAGACGGCTGTACACAAGGATGGTGCGGACCACGTACGGGGGCGGGATTGTCTGCACATTCTCCGTGACTGGCAGCTCCGTCTTCTGCTGGCTGCACAGTGGGGAGGGGCCAGGTCAGAGCACGCTCCAGGGGTTCACCTCTCATCACCCTCAGAGAGCCCAGCTCCTCACTGGGCCTGCAAGCCCCACCCGGCCCCTCCTGAGTCCACTGCTGCCTCTGAGCCTTCCTACGTTGCTGTTCCCTCTGCCCTCAGCCCCTCCCCACCTTGCTCTTCTGCCTGACCTCTCCTGCTCCATCAGGGAGGCTCTGCTGACCCTGAAGCTGGAGCCTGCTCTGGGCACCCTCGGCGCCCTGAGCGTCCCTCGTCACTGCCCTGAGCTGGACCTGCCACACCAGGCCAGGAGACTCTTAGGTGGGGACCAGACCTTATATTCTAAGTCAGTACCCAGTTTCCACTCAGCCACAGCTGGATCTCACATTGGGCAGAAGGCAGACAGAGGGCTATGTCCTTCATATGTAAAAAGCAAATCTGATCATCAACAAGAAAAAAGCCAACATCCCCCTACAATAAGAGGTAAAGGGGACAAATAGACAAATTACTGAAGAAATAGTGAATGGCTTAAAAAATAAATGAAAACAAAAGCAGAGCAAAGCAACATGGGGGCTCTTCCCACCTATCGTTCAGCAGCGTGATCAACCCCTGCGCTGGGGGCGGGAAACGGGGTTCATGTCCCGGGAAAGCGCTTTGGCAAAGTCTAGCAAAATTAAAAACACACCCCTCCTTGACCCAGCACGTCCTCCACTGGGAACTGATCTAGTAGATTCACTTGCAAAATCTGCCTAGGTGGCTGTACCAAGTTAATCATGATGGAAAAAGCAAAATGGGTCCCATGCCCACCATCGGGGGCTGGAAAACCAGGGGCTGAATACTAGGGCCCATAAGCTAAGACTGGTTTTCACATTTTAAAATGGTGGGGAGAAAAGCAAATCAAGTCTTTTGCGACACGCGGCAACGATGTGGAACCCCAGTTTCAGGGTCCAGGCGACGAGGTTCCGGCGCCAGCCACACCCCCTCGGGCACTATGGCCTGCGGCTGCTTTCAGACTGTGGCAGCACGGCCCAGGGGCTACTACGGAGACCTGCGGGCCTACAGAGCTGGGAACCTGTCCCATGCAGCCCTAGAGTACAAGCGTGCCACCGCTAGCGCTGACACAGCCCAGTGGAGGAGCAGGCCCGGCCCAGGACCACGCGGAGGGCAGATTCAGGGAGGAAGCTCTTTTGCAAAAACAGCTTCCAGAGAGGTGAGTGCGCAGCTGTTCTGGGGAGAAAGGCTGCGAGAGGCTGACCTCAGCCTCCCTTAAGGACTATTTCTGGGCTGTTTGAAGCTTTTACACAAAAAAGGTTCTTCTCTTCCAAGATGAACACTAATTTCCCCACAGGGGACTTACATGAGGCTGAAGAGACCTTCCAGATCTGGTGCAGATGCTAAGGAGAAGGCCGGAGGCAGAGCACGGGTGGGCGGGGCGGCTGGCTCCCCTCATCCTGATGCCAGGAGAGCCCGGGTCCCGCTGTACTGGAGACGTGCTGTGTGAGCTTGGCCCAGCTGCTTGCCCTCTCGGAGCCTCGGCTTTCCCTCAGTACAGATCATGAAGTGGGGGCTGGCACTGGAGGCCCTGAAGACCCTTGGTGACTCAAAGCCCCCTTCCCTCAGGGCCAGGGCTGCTCTCCTCACAACGAAGGCACTGTGGGTGTCCCTGCTCCTCCTCCCGACAGTGGCCATTGTGTTCTTCTCTAATTCACGGGGATCATATTCTATTTATGTTTTGGGCTGCACTTAAGCCTTTAATGTCCAAGTTAGCACAAAATGTGCCACACCCAGGGTGAAGGGGCTATAGTGGTGACTGCAACTTTTCAGTCACATACTGCCATTTATTGAGCACCGACCGTATACGTGGCCCTGTGTGGAGTGCTCTCCATGTGGGTGCAGTTTGGACATCCAGAGTCCAAATCAGCTGTTTTTGCTTCCACATCATGCCTTCATCCTCACAGGGCCCCCATGGGGCGGGGGCTGTGCCCACACTTCACAGATGAGGGAACGGGCTCAGAGAGGTGACTCGCCCACGCCTGCAGTGGCAGAGCTGCGGTCTGGACCTGAGCCAGTCTGAGCCAACCCCCCACAGCTCAGGCCTCCTGGGATCCGGGGACGCAGGACGGGCCAGGCCCCGCACCGGGCACCCTGCCTGGAAGGATACTGAAGGTGGAGCAGGAGGCCGTCTCCAAGTCATAGAGGCAGCTGCAGAGCTCGCGGGGGTCAGAGGTCAGGCCAGACAGCTGCGGAGAAGCACAGGCCTGAGCAAGCTGCTCCCTGGCCCCTGGGGGAACCCCGAGGCACCCCAGCCCCGCCCTGTCTCACCCAGGCAATATCGTCATTCACTACCACCAGTGCAAATTCATGGCTTTTGTCAATCTTGTGTTTTGTCCGCACAAACATCTCGATCATCTTCTGGGAGACGTTGAGGGCGTTGGTTTTGGAGCTGCAGAGGGACAGAGAGTGAGGGGATGGTTAAGGCGAGGCCTCCTGGCCTAGGGGCATCGCCTCACCTGCTCATCCTGGGGAAGCCTCCACCAGCCCCGCCATGAGGCCCTGGAGGCCCAGGTCATGGGGGACAGTGGAGCCCAGCTGACCCTCTCCAGCTCCCGCCCTCTCCAAGTGGATCCCTCTGGCTAGCCTGGGTCTCACACCTGATCCACTAGAGGCCCCCAGACCTTCGCTCAGCCACGGGTGGTCAGGGGTGCCAGCAAGGGGAAGATGGGCCTGTCTCCAGCATCTCCCAGAGCTCCTCAGGCCCCATCCAGGCCCTGCCACCCAACCCCACAGAGACTCAGTTGCTCAGGGCAAGGGCTTCAGGGTCAGCCAGGCCTGGGTCTGAATCCTGGCTCTGCCCATTTGCTGTGAGGCCTTGGGCAACTTTGCTTCTCAAAGTTTCCAAGTCATTGCTGTGACACTGGTGGCTTGTGACAGCTCACATGCACTTGGAACAGAGCCCCGATGGCTGCAGCTGCACCATTATCAGTTATCCTCGCTACTCTCCAACACCACCAGGCCCCGGGCCGGGCCACACCGGTGGGAATCTCTGCGAGAGAGCCCTGTGTTTCCTGGGCTGGGCCCCTGCCTGCCGTGGCTGCACATTCAAGGCCTCAAATGTGCCCCTCACCCGTTGAATGACTCCAATTTTGGCAGGGACATTTCCTCCGACAGGTCCAGACAGATGATCTGCAATGAAGGCGGAGGGTGGGAGGACGCCGTGCCCAGCAGCAGCTGGACATGAAATGAACGCCGGCCCCACACCATGCTGGGGGCCCTCCCCAAGCATACCCGGCAGTATGTTGCCCCCCAATTCCTAGCCAAACTCTCCACTTTGGAAGGCGGGGCCTCGAGGGAAAGAACCCTGGACTAGGAGGCCAGATTGATGAGTGAATAAATGAGTCAGAGAACATTTGACACAGAAACAAGGATAGAGTGGGTTGAATTGTGGCCCCAAAAGATATGCCCTCATACAACCTCAAAATGTGACTTTATTTAGAACTAGAGTCTTTACCGATGTAATTAAGGTAAAGATCTTGAGCTAAGATTGTCCTGATCCAATGACAAGTGTCCTTATGAGAGACAGAAGAGAAGACACAGAGACACAGAGGGGAAGCCATATGGAGACAGAGGCAGAGACCGGAGTGACGCAGCCACAAGCCGAGAATCGCCAGAACCCCCAGAAGCTGGGAGAGGCAAGGAAGCGTCCTCCCCTCGAGGCTCCAGAGGTAATGTGGCCCTCCTGATGCCTTGATTTTGGACTTCTGGGCTCCGGAACTGTGAGAGAATAAGTTTCTGTTGTTTTAAGCCCCCTCGTTTGTGGTAATTTGTTGGGGCAGCCCTAGGAAACTCATACAAAAGGACCGTTCAGAGTGAATCCCAAAAGGCAAGAATGTTTAACCCAAGGTTCCGCAATGCCTCGGAGCCACAGGCCAAGACCCTCACTTACCACCTTCTCCGGACAGTTGACCCTTGGCGTCCGCACCTGGATCTCAGGGGCCGGCAGAGGCACCTGCCAGGGCTTGGGGCCAGCTCCTGGAGGGTTGGAGGTCCCGTCATCAGCACTGGCCGCCTCACCCTCACCCTCGCTGCGGCTGCCCACGCTGGCCTGGGCCCCCAGTGCCCGGTCCTCGGCCCCCTCCGGGTTGGAGCGCGTGCGGGGCCTGGGCTCCGAGGACTGCTCCTCTTCCTCCTCCTCCTCATCCTCGGTGGGGCTGCTGGGCTCCACCACCTCCATGGCTCCTGAGTTGCTGGATGGAGCAGCCATGGGGGAAGCCAGGATCCTTCCCTTAGGAGTTTTAAAACATGTGATGACAAGGGAGGAGGAAGGGGCATGAGCCACTTACCGACTATAAGGGTCACGCCCCTCAGGGCCTGTTTCCTCATCTGTGGAATAGGCGCCTTTCACACTCGTCAGCCTGGCATCCACTGTGTCTTAAGGTAACAGTCTCCTTTTATTCTGTAGGGCTAACCCCTCCCCCTTCCTTGGCCACTGAGCACATATGGCCACTGTGAATGACTCAGAAATGGGGTCATGACCCCCATACGGGGTCCAGTAGTGCTATTAGAGAAGAGCGGCTCTCTAGAGCTGCAGAGCTGGGAGGAGAGAAGTGAAGAACAGCCAGGAGCCTCTTTTGCCACCAAGAGGGGAAACAGAACCTGCCTGAAGTGACGCTCACCCAGAAAACCGGCAGGCAGACTTCTGAGCACCTGGATCCAGCTACGTCTGGAACCAGTTCTACAAGCCACTAACTTCCCCCTCTTTCTTAAGCCAGATTGAATTGGGCTTTCTGTTACCTGAAACTGAAAATGTCTTGGTGAATAAAGGAATAACCTCTAGGATTCTTCCCAGTGGGCGCTGGGCTGCCTGGGGAATATCTGCACAGGGGAGGGGCACGGATCGGGGTGTTACAGGTCTCTGTGAGCAAAGATAGGATGCCAATGGAACAGTCTGCCTATCTGGGCAATGGATGCGGGCTGCCCGGGATGGCGGCCCCCACAACCTCTAAGGAAAACAAAGCTTCAGCTGAAGCAAGAGGCGTGGCAGCTAGACAGCAGAAGAAACCGGAGCTGAAGGCGACAGCTGGACCTCTGGGGTAAGGGAGCTGAGCCTCCGGGTACGGGTCCCGCAGCTTTCACCACCCACTTCTCTGCTCACCGTAGCCTGAGTCTCCCTCCAACCCAGCCGACGACTCGCTAGGAAACCGCCATCTTTCGCCGCCGGAAATGGGGCGGCGCAGTCGCACTGCCTCCTGGGGAATCTCCTTCCTCTGGCCGCAGGCGAGCAGAGCGACGAACCAGACGCCGCTGGACAGCCGTGGAAGCTGATAGGCTGGGACCGTGCCGGGGGTGGGGTTTGGAACGTGATAGACGGGAGTGGGGCCTGAGTGGGGCGGGACTGGGAATGTGATTGGCTAAAGCGAGATTAGGCGGAGCTTTTACGTTTCTGGCCGAATCAAACTGCACTGGTCAGCGCTCCTTCCGGCATGGGCGAGACGGGGCCGAGCGGAGCGGGGTCCTAGGCGGAGAAGGCCGAGCTTGCGGTATGATAAACTGAGCGGGACTGAGTTGGGCGGGATTTAGGAGGAGAGGCGGGGCTGATTGGTGCCTAGTGGAACTGACCTGGACCTCGTGCGGGGCGGGTCTTTGCGGACTGAGGTGGGCGTGGCTCAGGCCCCAAGGCCCCTCCCAGTTATTTGCTTCTGCTCCTTGTTTTACGTATATTTGCAAAAATCAAAAATATGTACTAAGCCAAAACTATTTCAAATTGCCCTTTCTTCTTCCTGCACACTTCTCCCCTTGGCCGCATAACCGTTTAAAAACCACTCAGCCTCAGGGCGGGCCCCAGGCGCGCACCGACGCACGGCTCCTTGAGGCCGCGTCCCACATACAGCAACTAGAAGGATGTGCAGCTGTGACACACAACTATCTACTGGGGCTTTGGGGGGAAAATAAATAAATAAAATTATAAAAACCACTCAGCCTCAGTTTATTTCAAAAGGATCAGTGAAGCCTGCCCACATCTGCCAGACTCTGGTTCACTGACAGCCAGAAGGCACTGCGTAAGCTGAGCCTTGAAAGATGGAGAAATTGCCAGATATGGGGCCCATCCCGTGGTGTACTGGTTAAGTTCGCGCGCTCCTCTTCAGCGGCTTGGGGTTCGCAGGTTCGGAACCCCGGGCGTGGACCTACACGCTGCTTGTCAGGCCATGCTGTGGCGGTGTCCCATATAAAGTGGAGGAAGATGGGCACAGATGTTAGCCCAGGGCCAGTCTTCCTCAGCAAAAAGAGGAGGATTAGCATCGGATGTTAGCTCAGGGCTGATCTTCTTCACAAAAAAAACAAAAAGAAAAGAAAAGAAAGAAAAAAGAAATTGCCAGACAAACAAGAGGAGGAAAGGCATTCCAGGCAGAAGGAACTGCCTGGGCAAAGGTCTGAAGGCTTGGAAGAGCCTTGGCTTGGTAGAGCCTTTAGCAGGTTAATATGGCCAGAGCAGAGCTAAGAGTGAGGGTTTCAATGCCCCTGGGTACTCCCAAGTCAGACAATTACAACTTCTCTTCCTTTGCGGACACAGAAGCAGGAAGATTCAGCCTTCTAGGGTCTGACAGTGGTACCAGGAAGATTCAGGCTACTCCAGTCTCTGCACGGTTTAATCCAAGGGCAGAAGGAAAGAAAGGGTATTTCAGGCAGAAGTTACAGCATGGCCAAAGGCCCCGGGGGTGTGAGAGAATTGAGAACCTTCAACTATTCACAGATGGGCCATCGTGGCTAGAGCAGAGAGGGTACATGGGTGCAAGCAGCAAGCATAATTTTTAAGGGCCTTGAATGCTAGGCTGAAGAGCTTGAAATGTTTCCCAAGGGCAATAGGGAGCTATGGAGGGTGTGTGAGCAGCGGAAGGGAACAGTAAGATCTCTGTCTCCGGGGCCTGGGTGGGGAAGGGAGTGGAGGAAAGGAGGGAAGGGCTGGGGAGCTCAGGGAGGGAGCTGGGCTGGCAGCCACGTGGGAGGGGAGAGGCTTGGGCTGTGGCTCTGGATGGAGACAGGAGGTCCTTTAGAGATGGATGCAGAAAAAATGGGCAGGATGCAGGGCCCATCTGGGCTCTAAGGAACCCAGCTTTTATGCAGGAGAAACAGCAGCTGGCAGAGGAAGCAGAGATGAGATGGCCAGAGAGGTAGTAGGGAATAAGGAGAGCGTGTTACGATTCAGTTCCCTGGTGCCCCGCCGGCCATGTGCAAAATGCCTGTTAAAACTCCCATGGCGCTGTGGGAAAATGCTGTAATTATCCCCGCTTTACAGATAAGGACACTGAGGCTCAGAGGTTGGAGGAGCCATGTGCTTAGAGGCCGAGGTGAGGAGGGACTGGCATCTCAGGAGCTGGACACGTGTCCTCTGCTGGGGCTGGAGGAAGCCGCTGTCCTTGAGGAGGAAACCGCACAATAACAAGTCACATGACCAGGGGAGGGGGCTTCCTGTTTCCCGGCCCCTCCCAGGCCAGCCTTGGCTAGCCTAGGCCTGAGCGGGCAGTGGCCAGAGTGACCCCAAGAGTGTGCAGGGCCTCAAGCCTCTGACTAAGGTTCTCCCAGAGGAACAGAGCAGTAGAAGTAGAGCGGGCTGAGGGGACCAGCCTCAGGACTGGGGCCTCTGGTTCAGAAGCACCCTGGGGAGGAGAGGGGATTCTCGAAGTCCTCGTCCTAGGGAAGGGAGCACAGAAGTAGGGAAAGACAAAGGAGACGGAGGAGAAGGGGGAGGTGTGGGCAACCTTGGTAGATAGTGAGCTGCCTGTCAAGGGAGGCATTCAAATGTGCCAAGTCAACATAACTCAAGATCCCTTCCAGAGGGGAAAATGAATGCCTGTTTCAGAGAAGACGACATTGAGGCTGTCATTTGCTCAGGAAACCAAAAGCCAGAGCTGAGATCAGTCTGTGGTTTTAGAGGGTGAGGGAGGAGGAGGATTCAGAGGAGACTGATTTCTGGACAGCAATGAGTGCCCGGGCCACACGACCCCGAAGCCGACGAGGGAGGCACGCTCCACCTGTAAGTGTCCCTCTTCCTGCCACACCCAGCTCCTTGGGACCCCAGGGCCCAGCCCTGCCTAGCTCAAAGCTCAGCCCCGGGGTCATTTGCAGGGTGAGCTGGACCCTGTGGCAGAAAGTTCAGAGGAGGCTGAGGCGGCCAGTGGGAGTTCTGAGCTGGGCCCTGCGCACTCTCAGGAGAGCTGCAAGCTGGAGCCGCTGGGCCCTGAGGTGGAGGCCAGAGGGCAGGGCATGGGGAGCAGGTAAGGCCCCTTGGTCTGTGCTCCCCACTTCAGCCCTGGTGCAGTTCCGCCACCCACAGATCCGCCTGTGTCCCTCCCCTGCTCACACCCATGCGAGGGCTCCCCATTGCACTCCTCAGGCTGACTTTCAAGGCCCTGTATAATGCAGCCCCAGCCTCGACACACAGCCCCTGTGTGCCAGCCACCCCAGATGACCCCACTTCCAGAACCTTCCATCTCTTGCTTCTTCACAGGACCAACAAAGAAGCTAATGGGGCCTCTAGCAGGGGGCTGGCTCCAGCACCCGAGGGACCCCATGATCCTGCAGAGGAAGCCCACCATGCCCCAGAGGCAGCCCCATGGGATGGGGAGACTGTCCCCCCCAGGCCTGGAGCCCCCGATGTATTTCAGACCCTACAGCATGCTCTGAGCTCACTGGAGGCAGCCGCTGCGGCCTGGCGCCGCAGGCCCCCGAGCTGTGCCGGGCCAGTGGAGGAGGAGGGCAGAAGCGAGGGGAGAACAAGGCCCTGCTTGGAGCAGGAGGGGGCAGGGGGCTGCCAGCGGGAGGCGGCCCGCCTGTGGGAGAGGAATGCCTGGCTGCGTTTGGCCCTGGGCAGCCGTGAAGATGAGCTGATCCGTACGCAGGCCTCCCTACAGGCCATCCAGGCTGAGAAGGACACGCTGCAGAGAGAGGTGAGTGGAGCGGTCCTGCCTCCCAGGGCTCCCTGCCCGAGGGAGGAAGCATGCCTGGTGTGGGCGACGTCCAGTCATTTGTTCATTCAAAAAACTTTTATGGAGCACTGACTGTGAAGCCACAAAGAGACAAAGGTCCCTTCCAATGTTAGTTAAAGCAATCACGGAGGCCCACTGAGGAGGTGACACTTGGATAAAGACCACAAGAAGGTGGGAGAGGAGTCATGCAAGGATCTGGAGGAAGAACATGCCAGGCAGAAAGGGAACAGCAGGGGCCGGCCCCGTGTCTTAGTGGTTAAGTGCGCGTGCTCCGCTACTGGCGGCCCGGGTTCAGGTCCTGGGCACACACCAACGCACCGCTTGTCCGGCCATGCTGAGGCAGCGTCCCACATACAGCAACTAGAAGGATGTGCAACTATGACATACAACTATCTACTGGGGCTTTGGGGAAAAAAAAGGAGGAGGATTGGCAATAGATGTTAGCTCAGAGCCGGTCTTCCTCAGCAAAAAAAAGAGGAGGATTGGCATGGATGTTAGCTCAGGGCTGATCTTCCTCAAAAAAAAAAGGGAACAGCATATGCAAAGGCCCTGAGGTGGGCAAAGTAATTGGCATGTTCAAGTGAGGAGGCCAGTGTGGGGGCGAGTGGGAGAAGACAAGGGCACAGGGGTGACAGGGGCAGATCCTGCAGGGCTTTGTGGGATGCGGGGAGGATTTGAGCTTTTGTTCTAAGGTGGGAGCCACAGAGGGTTCTGAGCAGGGGAGGGTCCGGACTGATGCAGGCGTTCACAGGCGCCCTCTGGCGGCCGTGGGAAGAACAGCCTGTGGGTCACAAGGGTGGAATCCTAGAGATTCACGGGGTGCAGACACCGGATACTGGAAGTTGTGGAGGTGGCGAGAAGTGGGCAGCTTCTGGGTGATGTGGAGGTGGAGCTGGCAGGTGGGGTGTGAAAGCTAGAGAGGGTTGGGGACAAGCCCTGGTTTGGGGGCTGAGGGGCTGGAAGCAACAGATGGGGAGGCTGCGGGAGGGGCAGGCCTGGTGGGAGGAGACCAGGAGCCGCCTGGGTCCTGATAAGCTCAAGATGCCCGTGAGCCGCCCACACAGGCATCAGAGGGGCAGCTGTACGTCCGAGTCCAGAGCTCGGGGGAGAGGTCGGGGGAAGGACAAGTTTGGGCATCCTCAGTATGTGGGTGGCATCTGAAGACGTGTGGATACTGGCTGGAGGATACTGTGGGGAGCAGGCCTCACCTGCCATGGGACCAGGTGGCGAGACTGCGGGAGCCCAGCACAAGGGAGAGACTTTTCCTCTCGAGTGCGGCCCTCTTCCAGGCTGAGAAAGAGAAGTCTTTTTTTTTTTTTCTCTCTCTCACCCCCTACCCCCCACCTCTGGCAACCATGAATGTGTTCTCTGTATCTGTGAGTTCAATTTTTTTGTTTTGTGGATTTTTTTTTTTAGATTCCACATGTAAGTGAGATCATATAGTATCTGTCTCTCTGTGTCTGGCTTATTTCACTTAGCATAATGCCCTCAAGGTCCATCCATGTTGTCATAAATGGCAAGATTTCCTTCTTTTTCACGACTGAGTAGTATTCCATTGTCTATATATACCACCTCTCCTTTATCCACTCATCAGCTGTTGGGCACTTGGGTTGCTTCTACGTCTTGGGTATCGTGACTAATGCTGCAGTGAACATGGGCTGCAGATGTCTTTTGGAGTTAGTGTTTTCATTTCCTTCAGATACCAGAAGTAGAATTGCTGGATCATATGGGTGTTCTATTTTTTTTTTGATAATTTTATTTATTTATTTTTTCCCCTAAAGCCCCAGTAGATAGTTGTATGTCATAGCTGCACATCCTTCCAGTCGCTGTATGTGGGACGTGGCCGGAGAAGCGGTGCGTCGGTGTGCGCCCGGGATCCGAACCTGGGCCGCCAGCAGCACAGCGCGTGCACTTAACTGCTAAGCCACGGGGCCGGCCCTGGGTGTTCTATTTTTAATTTTTTTTTTTTAATAATTTCATCGATACTTTTTTTTTTAAAGATTTTATTTATTTATTTTTCCCCCCAAAGCCCCAGTAGATGGTTGTATGTCATAGCTGCACATCCTTCTAGTTGCTGTATGTGGGACGCGGCCTCAGCATGGCCGGAGAAGCAGTGCGTCGGTGCGAGCCTGGGATCCGAACCCGGGTCGCCAGCAGTGGAGCGCGCTCACTTAACCACTAAGCCACGGGGCCGGCCCCTATTTTTAATTTTTTTGAGGAACCTCCATACTGCCCTCCATAGGGCTGCACCAATTTCCATTCCCGCCAACAGTGCACACGTGTCCCTCTTCTCCACATCCTCGCCAACACCTGTTCTCTCTTCTCTTTGATGACAGCCATTCTGACAGGTGTGAGGTGGTGTTTCACTGTGGTTTTGATTTGCATTCCCCTGATGATCAGTGATGCTGAGCATCTTTTCATGAGCCTGCTGGCCATCTGTATGTCTAAGGAAAGAGAAGTCTTTTTTTTTTTTTTTGTGAGGAAGATCAGCCCTGAGCTAACATCCATGCCAATCCTCCTCTTTTTGCTGAGGAAGACCAGCTCTGAGCTAACATCTATTGCCAATCCTCCTCCTTTTTTCCCTTTTTCTCCCCAAAGCCCCAGTAGATAGTTGTGTGTCATAGCTGCACATCCTTCTAGTTGCTGTATGTGGGATGCGGCCTCAGCATGGCCGGAGAAGCGGTGCGTCAGTGTGCGCCCAGGATCCGAACCTGGACTGCCAGTAGGGGAGCATGTGCACTTAACCGCCAAGCCACGGGGCCAGCCCCCATGGAAAGAGAAGTCTTGAGTGACTGAGTGACTTGCCCTATGTTGTATAGTGAGGGATTTGATGGGGTGAGTAGCTGGGGTTCCTGCTTTCCATCTGGGGCTCTTGCCACTGCCCCAGGAACAGGTCTTAGAGAGAGCTGGCAGGTGGTTGGAGCCCCCAGGCCTAACATCCCCTATCCCCCTGTCTCCCTCCCCCCAGGTCCAGGAGCTGCAGGATTCCCTGCTGAGGCTGGAGCCCTTCCCACCTCCCTCCCGTGGCCAAGCGGGGGGCTTGGGCAGTGGTTCCAGCAGCTCTGGGGCAGATGAGGAGCCCTGGGGGACTCATGTGAGTGTGGGAAGCTCAAAACCATGATCTTGAGATCCTTAGGGTTTGAGGTGGTGAGACTCAAATCCTGGTCCTGCAATCTGATAGCTTCTGGGGTTGGAAAAGGCCTAAACCCATGATGCTGGGCTTTCGATGACAAATGGGTGAATCAAGTCACATCTTGCTGGCAGGACCCCTTCTCCCTGGCTCACCCCCTGCTCCGGCGCCTCCAGAGTGATTCCAGCACCCAGATGCTTGGGCCTCTCCCCACCCAGCCCCTCGCCCCTGAGATGCACATCATGGAAGCCCAGATGGAGCAGCTCCGGGGGTAAGAGACAGAAATGCTGAGCTTGTAAGGGCACAGGCACCTCCCCAGCTGGGATATAAAGCCAGGCGTCTGGAGCTGGAGCAGGGACAGGGAGGAGGGGGGTGGAAACCAACCAGGTCCTCACTGCCCTGCCAGGCCTCTCACTTTCCCTCTTCTCCACCATCGGGGGCAGGAGCATCGAGAAGCTCAAATGCTTCAACCGTCTGCTGTCTGCTGTGCTCCAGGAGTACAAGGGCCGGTGTGAGGGCCTCAGCATGCAGCTGGGCCAGCGGGAGGCCGAGGCCACTGCACTGCGCCTGGCCTTGCAGTACAGGTCCGTGCACCCCGCCCATGGTGTCACTAGCTGGGAAGAGAGTGGGTGTGCTCAGAAGATGGCCCCAGGGGGCTGGCCCGGTGGCGTAGTGGTTAAGTTCACACGCTCCACTTCAGCGGCCCAGGGTTCACGGGTTCGGATCCCCAGTGCAGACCTACGCACTGCTCATCAAGCCATACTGTGGTGGCGTCCCACATAAAAAATAGAGGAAGACTGGCATAGATGTTAGCTCAGGGCCAATCTTCCTGAACAAAAAAAAAGAAGAAGATGGCCCCAATCCACAGAGGGAGGCAGGGTCCTTGCAGGAAAGCACCTTCCCCCACCACGAAAATTAATTTAAGGCAATTTTAGTCAAAGGGTGCTGAAGGAGTTTGCAAGCTCCTGGGAGTGAGGGTGTGAAGTGAGGGATCCAGGAGCAAGTGGGGACATCCCCTACACAGCAAGATGGGGCTGAGTGTCCTGGAGTTCTCAGACCCAGTGTCCCACAGTGAGCACTGTGAGGAGGCATATGGGGCCCTGCTCACTCTGGGGGGAGCGGGCTCAAGAGCAGCAGAGGAAGCCCTCACGAGTGACCTGGAGGTGGTGGAGAAGGAAGCTCAGAGGCTGCTGGCACAAGAGGAGGCTCCCGTGGATGGAGGGACCCTGAGGGATCCACAACCAAGGTATCCCTGAGAACCCTGGGAACTGGGCGGGCCAGTGAGTGGGGTCCTAATGGAGAATGGGGCTCCCAGAGCTGGCCCTGTGTTGGAGGTTGGCCTGGCTCACCATGGTTGGCGTGAGCCCTAACTGGAGTTGGCTGGTGGCTACTCAACAAAGTTGGCCTGGTGGTTGACAGCCATTGGGGTTGGTATAGGACATACCAGGGTTGGCGTGAAGATGGATGATGGTGCCCACTAATTAGAACTAGCATGATGGGGCCGGCCTGGTGGTGCAAGCGGTTAAGTGCACACGCTCTGCTGCAGCGGCCCGGGGTTTGCCGGTTTGGATCCCAGGCGCACACCGATGCACTGCTTGGCAAGCCACGCTGTGGTGGCGTCCCCTATAAAGTGGAGGACGATGGGCACGGATGTTAGCCCGGGGCCAGTCTTCCTCAGCAAAAAAAAAAGAGGAGGATTGGCAGATGTTAGCACAGGGCTGATCTCCTCAAAAAAAAAAAAAAAAAAAAAAAGAACTAGCATGATGGTGCTTAAAGGGCTTGGGCTGATGTTGGTACCCACTGGGGTTGGCATGATGCTGCCTAACAGAGTTGGCAAGCTGAGTGATGGCATCCACCGTGATGGCATGAGTGACAGTGCCCATCGGGTTGGTGTGATGGTGTCTACCATGTTGGCATGAGCAACAGTGCCCACTGGCATGATGGTGTTCACTATGTTATCTTGATGGATGAGGTGGCCCATTGGGGTTTACATTATGGTGCCCACCAAGTTGGTGTGACAGCACCCATCACAGATGCCTGAGATCCATTATATTCAGTAAGATAGAAGATGATGGAGCCCACTAGTGTTGGCATGAAGTTAGCAAAACCATGTCTGCCAGTGTTGACATAGGCCCCTCTTCTGTTTCCCGTAGCCCCGATGGCAGCAGTGTGGATAGGCCCACACCACAGGAGGTGGCTACCCAGCTCCGGGGCTATGTCCAGCGTCTCCAGGAGCGCCGTGCTCTGGTGAAGATTCCCCCAGAGCCTGGCCCCACCTTGGCACCCATGCCCACTGTGCCCCATGCAGAAGCCATGGTGCAGGCCATTCTGGGGACCCAGCCTGGCCCAGCTCTGCCCCGGCTGGAGAAGATGCAGATCCAGCAAGACTTGGCAGCCACACGGGTACACATGGGCTGTGGTCACTGTGTAGGACAAAACCTTTTGCTGAGGCTGAGAGGGATGTGATTGGGGACGAAGTAGCAAAGGAGAGTTCTGCTGGCTGGGAGCAGGCTTCCTGGAGGGAGGAGAATTTGGAGCTGGGGTTTTGAGGGATGAATAGGAGTTTGTCCTCTGGAATCCAGTTTCTTATAAGACTCTGAATCTTATAAGACTCTGAATCTGGCTTTCCAAAATGCCCTTCCTATGGAAAAGAGATGGGGGTAGGAGACATAAGCTGGGGTTTGTAGCCTGGCATGAAGACCTACATCCACTGACCTTGTCTAAGATACTCGCCTTCTCTGAACTGCCATTTCCACGGCTGTAGTTTCTATGGGAGGACATTTCCCACCACACAAGATCATGGTGAGGGTTGGAGGGCTTGCCTAACCGGCCCTCGGTGGGTGTCTCCTGGGGCCTAAGTTTTTCCAGCAGTTGACCCTAGAGGCCCAAATTCTTTGCCCTCTCCTTGGTCTCTCAGGAGGCCCTGGCGGACCTAATGCTGCGGCTACAGCTAGTTCGGCGGGAGAAGCGGGGTCTGGAGCTGCGGGAGGCTGCCCTCCGAGCCCAGGGCCCGGCCCACGTGCTCCTGCTGGAGCAGCTGCAGTGGGAGCAGGCACAGCTCCGGACTGGGGGTGCCGACAGCAGCGGTGGAGACAGCAGTGGCGGGTGGAGCAGCGGAGACGACGAGCGCTCTCAGGTGAGCGGGCCCGGCCTGGGCATGGCAGGGCTGACAGCACACGACTGGCCAGGTGGCCCTGGGCAGTCACAGCCCTCTCTGGGCCTCGGTCCCCACTGCCGCACCAAGGACGGAGCTGAACGATTAAGCTGTATGTCCGAGTCTGTATCTGTCCTCTCTGGTTTCTTTCTTTGCGAGTACTGAGCCCAACAAGCTCCAGGGGGTTTGGTGTCTCCCACTCAGCCCTGTAGCTCCTCCCTCTTGCCCTAGACTTACTTATACCCCCTCCACTCCAACGGGCCAGTCCATGTGTTGTCTCTTCCTAAATTTTGGCTCCAGCTTCCTCCCTGAGGCCTCCTTGTTTGCCCCTTCCTGTCTAATCATGTCTGTCCTCTGCTTAAAGCCTTCAGCAGCTTCTGGAACCCTCCTTTGAATCATCTATCCCATCTCCAAACCTTTGTACATGCTGTGCCCCTGCCAGGGAACACCAGTCACTTCCCTCTTTGTCTAATTAAGTCCTCCTCCTCCTGCAGGTCTGAGCTCAGACATCACCTCCTCCAGGAAGTCCTCCTGGACTGCCTTAAGATGAGCTCTCCTGTTATTTATTTCCCTTGTTAGGAAGTAATTTTACCCTTCTTGCTGTATCTCACCAGACTGGGAACTCTATGAGGGGAGGGGCTGTGGCCACCACAGTCTGGGAGACTTCAACATCCAGCTTGGGCTGAGCACACACTCGGTCTAGGCCAATATTACTACCCTCGCTTCTGCCTCCCACAGGGCCCTCCTGCTGTCCCTGGTGGCAGCAGGGACATCAATGGCGGCCAGGTGGGCAAAATGCAGGCCTCAGAGGAGCTGGCCCAGGAACTGGCGGCGTCACTCACCCGGTGTGTGCCTGGGTCCTGGGCTGGGGATGTGTGGCCTGGGGGGCATATGGGAGAGCCCATGGGGGTGTTGTGTGCAGCGGAGGGAGGGGGTGTACCCCTGCGGACAGCTGTGTCCACGTGGAAACACCGTGGGCAGGGAGGCGGGAGGAGGGAAGGAAGACTGGATTGGTATGCTGATAGCCCCTCTCTCCCCACCCCTGCACCAGGGCCCTGGGCCTGAAGGAGCAGCTGCAGTCTCTGTGGGAGGAGCTGGAACAGATGGCTCAGAAGGGGCGAGCTAGACGTGCTCAGAGTGCTGAGCTGAACAGTGATTTATGCAAGGCTCACAGGTGGGTCCCCCTCCCCTGAAGCCCTCAGAAGAGGCCCTGGCTCTCTCTGAGCCTTGGCTTCCCCCTAGAAGGTGGGCGACCAGTTCAATCCACCCCACACCTCCCCAGTGCCTGAGGTGTGTCAGCCCCTGCTGAGTGGTGCCAGGGCCCAGGACGACCCCACCTCAAAGAGCCCCGTCTGCAGCTGGGAGCAGACAGCCCCTGTCGGGGGGTGGGGGGCTGTTGCCTGGCTCAGCCTCCCCCTCCAGCGCCCTGGTCCTGGCCTTCCTCGATGCCCACCGGAAGCAGGGGCAGCGGCAACGGCAGCTGGAGCAGCAGGTGGCGCTGATGGAGGCCCGACAGGCGGAGGAGCTGGCGCTGCTGGAGGCCACAGCGAGGGCCTCGGGGAAGCCCCGGCCGGGGGAGACCTTTCTGTAGGCCCGGCCCTGGCCGCGTCTGGACATGCTGGCCAGCTGTGGCGGGCCCTGTCACAAGCTGTCTGGAGTGACGTTATGTCACGTGGCGTGACTTTGCTTGTTGAGGCACGTTGGGCAGGATGGGGGCCGATGCGCCTGGGTGTCCGGGGCCTGAGGGGGCGGACGGTCATTTGAGACAGACTCGGTGTCTCTAGCCTGGCACCATGTGAACGGGCCACGTTAGCCGGGTCCTGCCAGAGGCAGCCGGGGCTGTGGCGTCAGCGCTCAGGGAGGTCACACAGCCGCAGCTGAGATTCTGATGCTCACCTGTCTTCAGAAGCCCCGGCAGGGGTCCCGGGCACAGGGCACACCTTCCCCTGCCTGCCCCTTCCCAAGGAGCTGCTGGGCTTGGCCTGGCAGATGCTCGCAAGACGAAGAGGCCCACATCCCAGAAAGAAGACTGAGGCCGGAAGGGTCCAGGGCGTGGAATGTCGGGGAGAAGACGGCTGGCTCCCGGGGAGAGGGAGGGGAAGGAGGACGGGACACGGGGACAGGACTCTCAGAGTCGGCGCTGAGGTAAAGGGCCTCTGGGGTGGGGCACGTAGAAGGTCCAAGCCTGCAAGTGAACTCAGGGGGTTTGTCCCGAGGGCTGAGGAACTCGGGTGCGTGCGTGCTAACGGTGGGCAGCCAGGCACGCGGGGGCCCTGGAGGGCCCTGGCCCAGGCGAAGTTCCAGCCCCACCTGCAGGCCCTGAGCGGTGGCAGTGTCCGCGTCAGGGCCACAGCAGGCGGCTGATCAGCACGTCATTTGCGGAGGCCACACCTCCCCACCCGTCCGCCTGGGTCTGCCCGGGTGGCACAGGGGGGCTGGGCGCGACCCGGCTGGCCCAGATTAGTGGCCAGCTGTCTCCTCCAGGGCGGTAGCTGAAACCCAAGACAGGGATTAGAAAGGGTTTCCACCCAGCCTGGTGGTGGGGGTGCGGTTCCCAGGCCGCACCTGTGCAGGTGTGTGCGGGCGGCTGCCTCTGCAGGGCAGGGCAAGAGCCGAGGTCTGCCAGCCACCTGGCCTCAGCCTGGTCCTCCTGACCTGCGGACTCCTCGGGTGAGCCCTGGGGCTGATGACCTTCGGACCCCGAGCACTCTCTCTGGACTGAGGCCAGCTTTGAAGAAAGCAGGGAAACTCAGGCTGGCAAGGTCGCCCGCGACAGGGCAGAGGAACGACCTTACCCCATCTTGTCCCTCTCCCTCCCCAACAGTCCAAGAGTGACCTTAGCCCCCAGACTCACAAGGTTGCCCCTGCCAGGGGGAGGGGGAGGTGGGGGTGGGTGATAGGGAAGGGGGCAAAAGGAGACAGTCACCTGTTGGAGGGCGGGGAAGGAGTTCGAGCTGGAGGAGGGGCGGGGGCAGGTTCCCAGGCTGCCAGCTGGGTCCAGCCGTTCCCACGGGTGCCCCCGTGCAGATGGGCCCGGGCCTCTTCGTCCCAGGGCCGCGGCCACTGCAAGGTCAAATGTCACCGCGGGGCAGCGGGCAGGGTTCAGGGTGGTGGGGTCAGACCTCATCCCCCCACCCCACCCCCAAGGGCTGCGGGGGTGGGACGGCCACCAAGGGATTGCACCAGCTGGAGGGTCTAGGGTCTGCGGTGGATCTTCTTCCCCTAATCTGCAACGTGGCCCCAGACTGTCACTTGTGAACCGCCCCCCCAGACTTGTGTCCCTCAAATCCAGTTCCCTGCGCCCCCATCCCCTCCCTGATCCCCCAGCCCCTCCCTGACTCCCTTCCCTGGGCCTTCTGTGCCTTCCAAGTCTTCCTTTCTTATCCTTTCTCTGAGACCCCCACCCCAGTCCCCTCGACCAAGGATCTTAGAAAGTCCAGACCAGGACCCTAGGACCCATGTCCTCACCCCAAACACTAACCAGCCAGCACCCCCACACGGCCAGGCAGCCCCAGAACCAAACGGTCCTCCCTAACCATCCAGGCCCCCCTTCCCCAGTGGGGCTTACAGAGCAGAGAAGGCCACTCTAGTCAGGCCCAGGGAAAGTCCTTGCTCATGGCTAAGTCTACTCCTTCTTGCTTTCTGTACTTGCTAAAACCCTCCCACTTCATGTCCAGCTAGACCCTCCCTGGGCGCCCAGAGACCGAGGGCTGGCAGTGCTGTGCCTGGCTTTTCCAGAACCTTGGTGTCCTTTTAAGTGTTGTAATGTCTCTGAGCATCTCCACCGCCACCCCCCCAACCACCATGGAGAGTGCCCCCTCAGATGCCATCTTGAGAGAGACATGCCTCTTCCCAAGGCCCCTTCCTGAGAGAGGAGGGCATAGATCGCCGGCGGGGGCAGAGGGTACTGCTCTCCTGCACGCAGCCCTCCGAGGCCCAGCCATGGGCCCTGGTGTCTAGCTCTGGGCCCAGGGCAGAGCGGAGGCGACAGGACCTGCGGGACACCAAGGTGAAAGGTCATCGCAGCAAGGGCATTTCCAGCCGGTTAAACGTTAACAGGCCTAGAGCCAGAGGCTCAGGCTTCCCCAGCCTGGGGCTGCGGAGGGAATACAAAGGGTGCTTAATAAATGCTGGTGGGCCCCAGGCCGGCGTCTGGGTGAGGGTGGGGGTTGGAGGCGGGGCGGCAGCTGGGAGGCTCCGGGGAGCCTGGAAGAGACATCTGCAGTCCAGCCGGCCGCCTGGACAAACCCTTTCTGTAAAGCTCAGAAAGAAAAGGAAATTAAGGAGGAAAAGGGGCAGGCCCCGGCAGCGGTCGTGGGCATTCCTGCCGCCTCCATCCTGGCGGGCCGGCTGGGCGGGTGGGCGCCCTGCCCCCAGAGGCCTGAGATTCTGCCGAGGGGCCCCCTGACCTCGCGCCCCCGCCGGCCGCAGACCGCAACATCCCTTCCCCCTGGAGATTCCGAGCACCAGGTGTTAGCCAAGCAGAGAAGGGGTGGGGTGGGGGTCGGACGCGGCGACTTTCTGGAAGAGGAAGCAAACACAATCCATCATGCAACTGTGCAAAGAAATGCCCCAGGCTCTGTGTGTGTGTGTGTGTGCGCGCTCGTGTGTGTATTGCGCAGAGGCGTGCCCCCAGGGTGCAAGTGGCCCCCATTATTGCTTCTGCCGGGAATGCGGGGGTGGGGGTTCCGAGGGGCGCCTCGAGGGCGGTGGAGCGACGCAACGTCCAAAGCCGGAGGTGGAGGGGAGGGCCGTGGAGAGAGACATCTTGGAGAGGCTGCGGAAGGGCAGAGGGCAGCGGCGGCCCAGTCTCCCGCCGCGGCCCGGCAGGGGTTAAGGCTGGAGCAGGGCGAGGGCGGGGGTGGACGAGGCGGGCAGGGGGAGGCAGGGGGAGGAGGCAGGGTCAGGCCGGGCGGCCCCGAGC